CATGACTTTCAGAAAGAGCGAAACAAAAACAGACTGAGGCTTTTTCTTTATCCATGTTCCTGTTGGAATGTTAGGGAGTTTTCTAACCCTAACCCTGGTAGATTCGGGTCGATTGAGAACCAAATTTGCAACATTTTCAGCTAATGCAGTTCGCTTTTTTACTGGACTTTGTGAAACAAACCAAACTAATGGAAAAGTAATAACAGGTGAGGTTCACCTCCTCACCTGTGGTGGCGCTGCACCAAGAAAGTCAAGAAGGAAACAACACAAACACTTGCGAAGATGACATGAGCAAAAAATGGAGCAGCATTAGTTTTTAGTGGTTGTAGGATTTCTCTTTTGTCTCAGGTAAAAGACCATGAGTCTTTTCTCCCTTTAGTGCTAGAATTTCGCATTTGTTTTGGTTACGCAGGGCATTTACCCACAATGCCCTGCATTGTCGTCCGCTTCCTGCTTTTGGAGCGGACTCCAGTCTGATTGGCGTTCACATCTGAACTGCACCAAGAAACTGAGCTTTGTAGGCAGAGCAGATTTAACTTTTTCGGTCCCTATCAGAGTTTGATTGCGCATTCACACTTCCCCAAATGAGAATCTCCCATTATGCTGTCCATATGTTTCAGATTTTTATATTTTAGTTGGCCTGCTAATTCTGTTTTGTCTATTATAAACTCGAATTGTGAAAGTCTGAATCTAATTCTCCACACATTCTTCAGACAGACTTCTAGAAACCTGAATCCAGTCAACTATATTCAAAATAAATCCCTCCTGCTTCGGACTGGATGCTGTAGCTTTAATATTTCCCTAATCCGCTGTTTGAAACAGTCTAATCGATGCATTGTTCACAACTAACAACCTAATATCCATGCAGTGATTGATCATAAACGGCCAGGAAGTCAGCAGACAAGTCTCTGCCTCTCCTGGATCACTTTGAATTAGATTCTTCATCCCCAGATGTTTCTGTTTAATGAAGGAGTGGCTCCCTTATGTAAGGGCCACGTGTTGAGCGCTAACCGTAGCCAGCAGCGAACTGCCTCCTCCAGGCGTCAGTAACGACCTGCTGCCTGTCTGTGATGAAAACAAGCCACTTTGATTTACAGGAGACCACAGATCTGTTTTTCCTGCTTCCAGCAGAGAGTATTAATAGAAAGCTTCTATATGTATCTGAGTTTTCTCAGATTTGTAGTCTCAAAAGGAGGATGAGGCTCCTTCTGGATGTTGAACTCAGTGATTGCTTTGGTACGATTCCAGGTTTCCTCCTTCCTTTTTACTAGGCTATTGCCTAAACATCCTTCTTTTGAATAGCAGCTTGATGTTGACAGGAAGACTGTAAATAGTCTGATACTCTATATCCTGATTTCATTCCTCCATGAATCACCATTGTGCAAATGTCTCGAGTCACACCCTCATTTCTGTACATTTTCTTTCGTCACAGCCAAACTTTCCTGTAGTCTAAGCTGGTCTTTCCTGTAGTCTAAGCTGGTCTTGATCAAAAGTTTTCATCCTTTCCGATTGTCTTTCCAAGTTTTCCCTTGCTGTTTTTCTCAGCTAAGGTTCTGTTTCGGGGCTTTACGGAATTTTTTTCTTCTTTCATAAAGACATGACTTTCTAATACTGATCATTTTTTAGGCCTAATACTTCTTCTTTTCACCTCTACACACAATAACCCTAACACACAATATCCTGATATGGAGTGTACAGAAACAGTGAAACAGCATCCTAAAAGCTCCCCAGTTAGAAACATTTGAAGATTTTCAGAAAGTTGAGTTTATTTGTGCAAGAACAAACGTGAGATATCAAAAGATACAGCTGGATAGTTTTCATAAATTGCCTTTTATGTATTTAAATCGTTCCTGTCTAGCAAATATCCAATAGAAGAGGGAAACAAAATTAACCCTTTTAAAAATGTTTTTATATGAACTTTGCTGTGACATAGTTTGAACAGGAGTGGGAGAAGAACTATGCCTTGGGGTTCACCTGGAGTAATGTCTCACCACATATAGTCGTACTCAATTAATTGGAGCATTTAAAATGTTTTTTAGTAAATCAATTGTGAAACACATTATATAGTTTAATTACACACATACTAATGTTTTCAAATCTTTCTTTCTGCTAAATAAGAAAGGGTGTGTTTCTTAAATAATTAGTCTTTTTTATTCACAGTAACTTCTATCAGCAGTTATCAGATGACATCACTTCTGTCCACCAATTAAAGAAACAATAAACTAAACATTAAATTTTAGCAAATACATAGTAGAGATTACTCAGTTTGATTAAATAAATTTCAATAAATTAATATTGTTTTTAAAACTAAAAGCTTGCTCATAAGATTTTTACACTGCGGCATTGAAACTGCAGCAAATTTGAAAGTTAAGCAGTTATATTAAATGCAAAATACAAGTTTTGCATGTCTTGTTTTCTGCTCTTACGGACACTTTTTCACTGACATCATGCTGTAATTGTGCATTAATGGATGTTTTATCATGACTCAGCAGTAAACAGCTGTGTGTGTAAATGGGAGCCAGTTCAAGATTCGCTCAGACGGTGAGAAACAACCGGAGCTCATGTCGAGACTTTGGCACTTCTGTCTGTCATTAGGTGGAAAAACAACTGTTTTACGAGCTGCTGTGTTAAAATTATCTGTCTGACTTGTATGCAGCAGTGATCCCATGTCCTGCAGCAGGAATGTTGCAGAGGGTCATCATGATTCAGACAGAGTCAGAAGTAAAGTTGGCTCATTGGGGGGCAAAAGACATTTAATCCCAATCTAACGGGTTAAAGAAGAAGCTTAAATGATGTCTAAATTAATTTTAGACCAATAAAATTTAGTCTGACTTTACTGACTGTGGTATGACTAAAAAAAAAAACCCAAAGTTATATACAAAGAAAATAAACTACAAATAAATTCAAACAAAAGAAGAATCATGTTACATTTATACGTCTGCGAAATATTAAGTTACATATAACTAATTAAAGGTTTCTATTCTGTCGAAGACCTTAAAATATGAAAAAAATAATCAAAGATTTGCATGATGCCAGTGGTATTCAAACCTTTTGTCTCTGGGGCCAAAACTGGCACATTTAAGCTACTGGCAGGCCACAAAATTTATGAAATAAAAAAAAAACACAAAAATTTGTTTACTGTGATTTTCTGCTCAACAATAAACTTTTTTTATTTATGAAATACATATGTCATGTTAAAAAAACAGACAATTTCAAATTGTTTTCTGTTTTGCTGGCACAGCTTTTACTATTCCCGACTTGTAACCAGGGGCCAAACAAAATCCTTTCAAAGGACACAAATGACCCCCGGACCACACGTTGGACACCCCTGCCCTGTGCTGTTTGAATTTGCCAACTTGTGCATATTGTGAGGACAAAAATGTTCTTTCTTTGTGTCATTAACAACAGTAAATATCACCATTCACAGAGTGAACTTTGGATTACAGTCAATTTTACTCTTTTATCACTCTGACTGCTCAGCAGCAGCCAATCAGCTGTCAAACAATCAAGTGAGCTGGAGCTTCTGGAGGACATTATGCTGCATTTACAGACCATAAACCAGCAACTTATCTACTCTCCCAACAGATGCAGCAGCAGGATGTTATCTTTCATAGAGGTTTTTAAGATAAAGTCACACATTTTATTTCTACTGCAGTGTTTTACGGCGGTATTTATCAAATTCAATCCAATATTTCTACTGTTTTCTGTTTTTTTGTTTTTTTACTCATATTTTTACTCATATATAAGTGGCTTGGAATATTAAATATAATAAATATTTGTTCATGCCTGATGAACTTGTTGCATCCACCTTTGCCTAATTCTTTCAAAATCCCTCTCTTCAAAGTACTGAGTAAAGTTAAAGTTTAGGTGTACCTTCCACCTTGAACCCTCAAATTAAAATGTGGCTATTGAGAAAGATTTCAAAGAGTCTTAAAGCTGAATTTGTTCAGGCGTGTCTCAGTTTGCAGCTCAAATCAGAATCAAGAGAGCGACATCAGTGTCCTAAAGAGGAAAATCAGACAGCATGGCTTTACAGTTGCTTAAAGTCAAGCATTTCCAGTGAGAGTACCCATAATTACAGGTCTAATCAAAGTCCAAAGATAGCATCACATGAAGCTGCATGTGTGCTCATGGCTGCATTTACTGAAACATGCAAAATCTAACAAACTCGCTGAGGTTGTTCTGTTGCTGCATATGTTGCTGCATATGTTGCTGCAATGCCTTTTGTCATTTTTTTATTGCTTCTCATCAACTTTTAACCCTGAAAAATTGATATTTTTAAATAAAAGGTGACCAAATTTAATACAAGTTCACAGTTATGAAACCAGAGAAGTTTATCACATGCTAGTTCAATAAATCTTTACCTGCAAGACAAAGAGGAACAATATTGCTCTTGATCATAAATGGAATCATTTCCTTGATTAACTTCTTTACAGCAGAACTAAAAAATATTCTTAAAAATTACTGTTCTTGACCTATGTCAAACAAATTTAGAAAAAAACCAAAGAAAACTAAATGAGAATACATATGTACATGTACAAATTCAAATTAATTTTGAAAAATATTTTTCAACATAAGAATCAGTCATTTTAGCTGCTGTACTTGTTGAGAAAGAAGTGAGAAGTTTACACTTTTTAAATGTCCATCCCTCTTACATAGTGAAACATAATATATATTATAAGATGTGAGGCTTTGTCATCTAAATGATGAATAAATACAATAACTTATTGTTGTGCTGCAACAAAGGGTTATAAAATAATTACTAAATTGCACTTCTGTTGAAACCATTTCTTATTTTAACTATATGCTTTTTGTGACTTTTTTACATAAATATTTAAAAGACTATTAAAAATATTTGCTTAACTTTATTTAATTTTTCTTTATAATATATGAAAAAAAAGTACAATGTTGTGTACTCTTCATCCTCCTCTTCCTCTGTGGGCGGGTTGCCTGGTGGGTTTGGCTTTATGACTCGCCTCCTCTGTTGTAAGTCTCACACTCTCACCATCCACTCCCACATCCACGCGCTGCTTCTCACCGAGCTGTCACTGGAAACGCCGCTCCGCTCTCCGCTCCGCGCTGCGCATCCTGCTGCGTCCTGCTGCGTGTCCTGCTGCGCTCACATCTGGTCCGGGACCGCAGCCTTTAAAAGCCGGTGCAGAACTGACCGGAGACCGCGAACCGGGAGTAGAAACATGGCTTCTGAAGATAAAGAGAGCTCTGTACTGTCCGATGACCAACTCCGAATACTGGAGGAAAACTTCAGAACCAACAGACATCCAGAGGGACCGAGCCTCATGCTGATCGCTGCAGAGGTCGGAGTGTCAGAGGAGGACGTAGAGGTGAGACTTACGTTTCTGCTTCAGTGCAAATTTATTATAATCTATTTGTTTAAACCGTATATGTCTCCATTTTATAACACCAGAATAAAAAAAGTGCTCCTGATTCATAAGGTGCCACTAAAAATAAAAATGCACTTTAAATGTCAATATTACAGTTTTCAGGTATCTTCAAATTCAATACGAACTGAAATGTTTAAAAGAGTTAATGCCACTATGTGATGTTGTTGAACTTTTGAAGTGAAGTCTATGAGCTTTCCGAGACAAGCATAATTTTATATAACAGCTTCACGTGAGAAGATTTGACTTTTGTTTTTCTTGTATAAATGATACTACAACACTTGCCAAGTTGATTTGTTTGGTCACAGCAGAGTTGAATATCCTGCTAAAGCACATTAATTTGCAGGGCGGATGCGTGTTCAAGGGGCTTGTGAAGCAGCATTAGCTGTCACTGAGGGCGTGTCTACAATGTTTTGGATGATTTCATGTTGACTTTCAGTCACAGGCCACTGCTGTGCTGACGTACATTAATCACACTGTAACTGTGCTGTTACTTAATGCTCCCTACAGCCAGATCAAAGTCCATTCATGATAAGAATAGTAACGTTTTCAGGGTTTTGAGCAGTTTAAACCCTGACATGCTCTGACGGAAATAGATGACCAGGCACAGATTTTTCTGTTCAATAGAGGAGTAGAATAAAAAATCAGCAGTGTCAAATTCATACTTTTCAAAACAGAGCAATTTATTCAAAGAATTAAACATTGTTTAAGTAGTTTGTTAGGCATTATCTCCTTCTCCAACATGCGAACCCTCCCACCTCTCTGAGAAATTCCTTCAGCTTTCTGTAAAGCCTTTGCATCCGTCTTATCAGCCGCCAGATGTGAAGTTTCCTCAGTTAGAGCACAAAGTGAAGAAAACCTCAGATGAATCACAGAATAAGTGTTGGCAATTCGCCTTCTCCTGTGGTGATCCGTCTGATTGAGCTGACCCAGGTTCAGGTGTGTTTCAGGCAAATTTCTGCCTGTGGTTGAAGAGGCACGACTCTGACATGGCAACTAAACGAGTGTTTCACCAAACAATCACTTGCATACGTCAGGCATCACGTCTTTGTACGATAACCCATCAAACCAGTTGCACCAGCTTTAGTTATGGTGCGGTTTGCATAAGGAGAAAGACAAACAAGCATATTTCAGGATGTTCTTATTTTTTTGTTCATTCAAAGTTCTGGAAAAAAACTTTACAATGGAGGAGCTACAGCTTGTTTTTCCACATCTGGTTTGGTCACAGTGTGCCCCCAAGATCAAATATCAGCCAACAGCTTAAGTTTAAATTCACATTTTCGCTTTTGTTTTGTTTGAATTCAAATTGTTTGAATGTCAACAATTTGTAAAAACAGCCCAAAAAAGCCTAAAAAAAAAAAACCCACCCAGCTGTTCTTTTTATAATAAGTGAATGTTTTTTGGTCCTGTTTTAAAAACCTCCCTATTTTTAAGTCACAATCAACGGACAACCCCAGTGGAGCTCAGCCCGTCACCTAACAACCAAGCAGAGCTTCAACAGAAATAGAATCACCATCTCTCTTTTTCCCCCAAAGAAAACATATTTTTTGTGCCAAAAAATTATGTAGGTTGTCCTTTTAGGAAGGTGGCAATATCCAAAATAAAAAACATCCAACAGCAATAATTAAAGTAAAAATCAAAACAAATGAAACCATAAATATAATCGTTAATGTAAACTGTGACCCACAGAGGGAGATCCCTCAGACCTCCATAAATAATGCACTTCCTCATGCCTTGAAGGAAGTCAGCTGCAGTGACTTAATTTGAATAAATGAGTTGAAAAAACACTGATTTAAACAGTTATGTGTTGCTGAGGCAGGAAACCTACTAGATTGGTTGAAAGAGTAAAAAATGTTTTCCCAGCTCTAACTAATCTTAATTTAGTCTTTTGCTGTTGTGAAGTATTTATGTGATGAAGTTAAACTTTTTCTAAAGTCATAAAAATAGGTAATTTAAGAAAAAAAAATACAGCTCTGTGACATATTTAGGAAAACACTAAAAAGAAAATATAAAGGTTTGTTTTGTTGCAGTTTTCTATTTTCTCTAATGAATCAATAAATTTAGGTAAGGAAGGATATGTCCATTATCCAATTACAATACGGTATCAGTGTTGCATAAATTAAAAGTCCAGCATCGATTAGTTGTGATCATTTTAAAAAAAGATAAATGTAGGTAAGGAAAAACTTTGAAAACAAAAACACACACAAAAAAATAACATGGAAAGCTTAAAACCACTAATACTACAGGGCCTAATCTTCAGCCTATTACATCAGAAACATTTAATTATGTGGCCATGGAGGCTTGTAATCCAACCCTTTCTGTGTTTCCATTCACTGTACACAAAGGTGGGAGGCTGAGCTGACGGGGAAGCCCGGTCCAGGCAGGATGATGTAAAGGTCTGGCCCCTCATCAAAAGACCTGACTTAACTCCTCTTTTCCTCCCACCGCCCCTCCTGTACAGGGTTTTGTGTTTGTTAACAAAGCAAGCATTTGGGGAAGGTTTAGCTGAAGGAACCCAACCCAGCCACCACTCCCATTTCACATTAATTATATTTACGTGTTCTGGCCTCTGTGGTGCATGTTTAAACTCCGGCACAAATCTTCTTGTTTGCTGCATCATTAGAGTTGACTTATGTAATTCAGTGCAAATCATGTAGAAAAAAAATTAAATAAGATTTAAAAAAATGCAAAAGAACTACTTGAAGGCTGAAGTTTGCTGCTGGAGTTTATAAAAAGTAAAGTAAAGTGCAAAGGCAGCAATTTGCACTTTAAAGAGGAGGGTTGCACAGTTGGAGACTATTTGTGAATTGCTTTGGGGGCTTGAGTTAGTGTTATTCCCAAGTGACTTTCAGAAGAGAACTTTGTGTGTTTTCAGTACAAAACGTGGAAAATGTCCCGCCTTTGAGACGCACAGCTCAACAACCAGTCTTCTGTCAGAGAGCTGTATCCCTTCTTTCCCCTCGGCGTTATCAAGATTACGTCAGCGGTGCTTTGAATCCCTTCACAACATGAACTGCAGAACAGCAATGCAGTAGGTCAAGGGCGCATGTTGAGGCTCTGCACAGTCATCCTCTGGTCAGAGTTTAATGGGGCACTTACTGGCTGAGTGGTCAGAGTGCAACAACTGCAACAACTGAGCAGATTGTGAGCTGATCGCAGCTCACAGTCTACAACCCATTTTAAATTCAACAAATGGAGCACCAGTGCAAGTGATTTTTAAATTTGAGTACATTTGTGAATATTAATGCTATGCTGATGAACTATCATCAAAAAATCAAACTGCTTCCTGTCAAACAAAACTATGCTAACATTAGCATACTAATACGATGCTATTTTTAGCATTAGCTGAATGGCAATTTTCAACAAACAATATTTTAAAATGAGTGTAAAAATGCAACGACTACAATGTTATCAGGCTATTTCTCATGTTAATGTACTCAGTTTGTTGTAGTTATGATATAACAATAAATACTAAACACAAACTGGCAATCAAAACCTTTTGTTTTATTTTCAATCAAGGCCAACCGTGTTCAAAATAAAAACAAATATTTTGCATCTTTAAGTTTCCTGTATAGTGTTTGCTTAGTTCATGTGACTTTCTTTAAGGGCTGAATCAGAAACAAACTGATTAGGTTTCCAGTTTGGGAATCGCATTCACCTTGTTCTCAGGTCTGATTTTTATTGTTTGCATTGATAAGCATCACGAAGCCTGTGGATGAATGTCACTTTAGAAAAAAACTAAATTTATTAGTTGGCAGCACACCAAGTCCAACTGTGTAACTATCATAACTGTCATGTCATTGCTATAGATTTCAGCGTGAAAAGTTACGTCATTGTTCTGGTTGTTCAGGCTCTGCAGCCTTAGCACCCTTGGAAAAAATCTGCAACCTGCTTTAACAACTTCCTCACTCTGTTTTTCTCCCACAGAAATGGTACAGGCTGCGCATGGCAAAGTGGAGGAAAGAGCAGGGTCTACCACCAACAATTGGATCAGTGTTGGACTGAGATTTTCTGATCTCCTTCTGATGCACAAACTCTTCTTAGCTGACCTTCCTCCTCAACGGGCTGACCAACCTTGTATCTTCGCCTCACCATTTGTCCATCCCTCCTTTTTGTATCTATGTCTTTGCAGAATATGAAGTTGTCGGTGTGCCATTGTAACTGCCTTGTTTACATAAATAAACCTGATGTTATTGTAAGTGGAAGGAATTTGCTTTTACATTTGACAGGATGCAGCAGGATTCTACAATAGAGGGAGGATGAAGTGCCTGCTTGTGTTTTTAGTTGGTCTCTGCAGTAAAAAGATGAAAGAGAATCACTGCTTTACAATAGATATGAAACATATGTGATTTAATCTGGTATGTTCCCCTGGAGACGGTGAAGGAAAGAATGGGTTTAACCAGTGCAGGTGATGTAATTTGTTCCCTTTATTCCCTAAAGCAAGCATCTCTGTCTTAATGTTGCACTACTTCTTCATATTTGCTATGTTTTGATTCCTTTTTTATTGCTGCTTTTTGTTTTTACTTTTGTACAGCACTTTGGTCAGCTGCTATATTGTATTTTAAGTACTTTAGAAATAAAGTATGGAAAAGTCTGAATACTGTGAAAAAGGACATGGAAATGTTCGTTCTATTTTTTTAATCATTCTGCCTATTTCGAGCTGCTTTTATTTAATTTTATTTACTCATGTATTTAACCGGGACAATGCACACAAACAGGACAGAACAAGTCTGTAACTGATGCTTTGCACCAAGATCATGTAGCTGCAGCTAACTCACAACCCCAGTCCTTGGTTGAACATTTCTATACCTGAAAATCAAAATACAATAAAATACATTATATCACTTTAAGTCCAAATAAGCTGCTGCTAGTCACATCACCCCAACGCAAGATTTACAATCACACCTGAAAATAACCACAATCAGATGATCAATTATACAATAACAGCTTTGAAAAGCAGAATAGAGCTTCCTGCACAATCAACAAGAATGCAGCCAAAACACAGTTTTCCAGCAGCCATTGTACAGTGAATACAAAGGTCAAACCAGCTGACCAAATGTTCTGGAGCTCAGTGTGGGTTGCTAGGTAACGGGCTGGGCTTTGCTGGGGTTGCTAGGTGACTGGCAGTCCCTGCTGATTTGTGACATTATATTTCAAAGAATTTTGAAACAATTAATTTCCCATATACCAAAAAGAAAAACATTAACTCATTGGCAAAAACACTGGGTGTTTTTAAAGTTTTTTAGCTGCTTTTAGTAGCAGTAGAAACTCAAATGTAAGTACAAAAGTGTGTGAAATTTTAAATTTTGCGTAAGAGGTCCCCTTTAAAGAGAAAATTTGAGGTTTCAAACGCAGACAATCCACTATAAAGCCTCGACTGTTCTGTCAACAGCCAGGAGGTGATGTAAGAGAGAATGATCTTTCCAGCGAACAAGCCTGGAGTAAAACAGAAAAACAAACACACACTCGCTGATCGTGGGAAACTGCTGAGCTTGAATAAAACAAATGACCAACATGTAACAGATCTGTTCACAGAGCAACTTTTTCAAAGGTGTTATGAGCTTATTAGTGTTCATCCGCTCTCATATTATTCAGGCTTTTACTCCTCATTTTGACTGCAGGCCCTCTTTGCTCATGCAGAACACACAGTGTGATATTTACTGAGCCCAGGGGATTTTTTCTCTTCAACCAAGTGTAAAAAAAAAAAGTCACACCCACTGAAGAACAAGCACATTTTATATTCCCAGCTGAAAACACACATTATTTATCTTAAGACCCCCCCACTCTGCTCTCTCATAAATCATAGATTTAATCTCTCAGTTTGTTGCTTAACATCACTAAATGCTTTCAGGGTTAAATGGAATATTTTTCTTCTGCGGTTGCCGCTAAATTCATCTTGTATTTGTTAATATGTTGTGCTTTTCAGTGACTTAGTTGATGCTATATGTTATATGTCATTGTGGTTTCTCTATTTTTTTCTCTCTACAGTTGAAGAAGCAAAGTTCCAGTTATTTTATTGTATTTTCTCCATCCTTTTTCTCCCTCTTCTATTCTTATCTGAAACACTTGTTTTCCCCCTCTCCTGTGGGGGCGCTGCAACCAAAAACTCCTGATGGAAATGACGTGAAAACTTTCCTACTTTGCAGAATGTAAACAAAAATGGAGATTTTAGCGGTTGTTGAATTTCTCTTTTGTCTTTGGTAAAACATCACAACACATTTCTCCCGCTAGTGCCAGACTCTCATGTTTGTTTTGGTTGTACTTACCCAGAATGCCCTGCGTCGTAGTTCTCTTCCTGCTTTTGGAGCGATCTCAGGACCGCTTGTTGTGCACATATGCATTTGGTTTCCAATAACTGCCCAAATAAACTGGACTTTTCAGGCAAATTAACCAGAGTTTCAATAAAGAGGACAAAACATGGCTGTGGATGTAACCTATTTGTTTTTGGTGTTTTTTTGCTTCACTTCCCTTTCTTTCTGTTTTAGTTGCTTTTTTCTCTTTTTACAGTTTCATTTGAAAAAAACCCAATGAAATTTATTGTAGAGTTATGTATATATATATATAGTAGAGCATTACAGAGAAAGCTGTAATACTCCACCTGTGAAGGTAAATATGTTAGGCTTCACCTTAACACTTAAGTTAAAAAAGAAATAAAGAAGAGCCTGATACAGTATGTCAGTAGCATGCTGCAGGTTTGGTGTACTGCATGTAATCAAATCAGTGAACACACACTATGGCCTGCTGATAAAAACTGCAGCTGCATTTTTCACAAGGAGCCACATATTTTGCTGTTGTGGAATTGAATGCATTAATTTCACCTTGTGTTTAAAGGAGTCGCCTCCTTTTCTATTTTCTCCTTTACAACATATTTCCAATCCGTTTCAGCCTCTCTTAAGTATTTTTTAAATGATTCAACACTCGCCGTTCCTCTGGTGTTCTCATGTCTATTACTGATCATGCTCTGTTTTTGTAGCGCCACTGTTTCCAAAACATTCATCATCGCACTTCTCTAAACTTTCCCTACCCCTCCTTTCAACTTTTCTTCAGACACATTAACATCTGGCAGGATAAAGTGTATTCATGTATTGGAAAGATCCATTCAGACCTAAATCCAATAGAAAATCTGTGGCAGAACTTGAATATTAATGTTCATAGATGCTCACGGTTCAACCTGGCTGAGCATGAGTCATTGAAATGGTGAAAAAATACACAAAATTTGTAGTTGTAATGTGACAAACTTGAAATGTTCAAGAAAGTTGCTGTAAATAGAATATTGATTTAGCAGGCAAATGTCCCTATGAATATTATAATGCAGTTAGCAAACAAGGCGCAACATGAAACTAACTTCCAGATTTACTCTCAAAGACAAATTTACCCAAAAGTAAAAGACTTAGATGTGATTGGTTGTTTAAAGTGGGAATGTTTAGAGCAGTCATTGTGTTTTGACAACCCCTTTTTAAATGTGTAAACACCAGAGGTCATAAAGCTGAGACAGATTTGGTCCAACATGTTAAAATATCCATGCAAGTTGATTAAGATGTGATGAGTGTGAACAGAATAGGAATGGATTGTTTTTGTCTGCTGCTAAGAGATTTCTGCAGAGTAGCAAGGAATCTACTGAATTCAGCCTGCGTCACCCTCTTTCCGCCTGACTTCACAGAAGAGACCGCTTTATACCCACACAGACTAAATTTAATCTGTGAATTTCCTGATTTCTCATCGAGTTATTTTCTGCAGCTGGTTGGGTTTCAGATCTCAACAAAGCTACTGTTCTGTTTTAGCTGAGCAGAGTTTGATTATAATAACCAGAAACTCAACAAACACAAACTGTATGATTGGTTTGTATGTTTATGCTAATGACTAAACCAGATATTTACATGCACTGAAAAAAAGGCAGAAAACTGACATTAAATCAGACCAAGTTCTTCTGTCAGTATGCTTTAGTTAGTTTTATAAATGCATGCTATTGTTCTAGTTAGTTCTAGTTTTTCCCCACTACTCACTATTTTTACTTATTTCAGTTAATAAAAATGTTTTCCCATTTTCAGTTTTTATTGTCTTGATTGCTCTTGTTAACTATAATAACTTTGTTTCTGTTTGGACATCAAAAATCTCAGTCCTGTGGAGAAACTATGGGAAGATCTGAAATCTGCTGAGAAAATGGACTCGGTTCCAGCAGTTCTGTCAGGAGGAGTGGACCAGAACTTCAGCAAACCACAGTGAGAAGTTTGTGTAAGGAAACCCAAAAGGTTTCACCCAAGTGAAAAAATCCTCTCACATTTAGTGAGTAGAAATAAAGTTAGCAACTTTAGCTAAGCTGCAACAAGAAAAGTTTTCAACATCAGACAGTGAGAAAGAAATACGATATTGTGTCTTTTCATTCAGTGTATGTAAAATGTTATGAATTAGCTGCTAACAACTCAGTTGTCACTTTTCCTACTTTATTTCATCAGCAGCAATCTCCCATCTACTGTGTTCAGAAATCTCCCCATAACATCCATCCCATGATTACTCTTCCTTATTTTACAGCACAAACAGTGGCTGATTGAAAAACCTCACTCGAGTTTAGAAGGTGAAACCCAGCAGATTTATTAGTCCACACTCACAGCAGCAGCAGCATCATGTGGAGCTGCTGCTGCCAGTTTCTCAGCGCTCTGGGAAAATTTACTGAAGGCCCTTTTGTTGGGAGAAAGTTCCTGTTTCTCCACCCTAACGGAGCTGATATGCCCTCAAATGTAGGGACTTATTTTCTCAAAAGCTCTGCTTTCTGGTGCACATCTATGTGATTCTGTATCAGAGTTTTCCTCATTTTTCACAATTAGAAAGATCAAAACTGCTTGTTCGATCTTCTAATCATTGTGTCATTTGTGCACAGCAAAAAAGTGTTTTCTTATTTCTTCCAACAAATTGCAAATATTTGCGTATGCAAATTTAATAATTGTATTATTCAATTTAAATCTAGATACCATCTGGCTTACTCAAGATGGCAATGAAAGAAAGATTGCTAAAACAGTTTTCAATAAAAATTAATTTTAGACATTTAAAAATGTAATTCAGAAATGACCAGAAAATATCTCCAGCAGCCCACACACACAGCTTTAAGAAAAAAAAATCTAAACAACTCTAGAAATTAAGAGCCTCAGTCAAGTTTCCAGCTTGGTGGTGACTGCAGCTACAACAACCTGGTAGTATTGATTTCATTTTGTTTGGCCTGGATAGTGAAAATGTTCTGGGTTTGTTGTTGTAATTGTAACATACAAGGTTTGTTGAATTATAAAGAAGGATAAAAACACAGTTAATTCATAAACAACTCTCTTATAAACTAGATATGGTGTAAATTGCAACTAATTTCAGTCATTTGAGTTTAATAGATTAACAAATATAGATCTAGTTTCTTCTGAGAATAATTCCATTTAGCAATTATAGATGAAATCAGACTGGTTTCTTTTTTCAAATTGTGCAGCCTCATTTTTACAGCTAAAAAAAGAGCAAACAAAAAACATAATGTAAAGCAACACAAACTGTTGCGCATTCGATCTAAACTAATTCACATGGAGAGAACCGCAGCGGCATTGTGCAAAGTCCGAAACACATGGTT